TAAGGGGCGTGGTTCGGCCCGACGCGAGGTGCATCCACTGAAAAACTATCCAGCATCAGTAGCATGGCTTACGTGGTCACTTGTATAGGTTGAGGTTGTTCGAGGCTGTTGCTTGGCGTGGCGAGAATATTGCTCCACTTTCTCCGGTCCCCGAGATTGGGCTTCCAGTAGCTACTGGAGAGAGCTTTACGCACCTGTGGCCTACTAACGGTCATCATTTCTCTGCTTTGTTTCAAGACCCGCATCAGAAAGCTTTTGAATGGTGCTACTTTTCCAGTTGGTCTACCTGCTCTTCACGTAGCTCTGCATGTCGTAGTTTAGGTGCTTTTTTTTCTGGAGATAGGCACTGCTCAATCCACTCCTCCATAGTAAGACCCCCCCGGAGGTCGAAGTTAATCTTAAATGTTTCCATCTCATGCTTTGTAAGTTTGTTTCGTAACGGAAGAAATGTAAATATATTTATAAAACTGACAAGTCAAATCAAACAATTTGATTGGTCGATAGCGTTTTTGCGGACCTCTTTGATTACAGATTTGAAAACATCGTTGCTTGCTTTAAAAGTAGCACAATTCATTATGTCAAACCTTGGAAAGTATCTAGATATCCCTGCCCTAATGCCAAAGGAACTGCACACTGAATATGTTTTGCCGTTTGATGTCTATGTCTGGACCGCTGCGTAAAAAGAAGGGTTTCTGCCCCGTTACTTCTCCGCTGCTTTCTTGTTCCAGTTTCAGCCCAACTGTATACTGTTTTTCTCAGACGCGGAGGGATACTGACTTGTTGTGAAAAGTAACTTACAATTCTACCCGTGGTATACGCTCAGTATATCACGGCTAAAAACCAATCAGATTGCTTGATTTGACTTGTCCGTTTTATAAATATATATATACAGCACACAGTCCCTAATCCAGTGGGAATGAGGAGATGCAGTCAATCCAATTAGGTGGGAAAGGCAAATATACCCTGTTGTGTTTGAATGCCAGAGACAAGGTTAGGCTAAAAAATATGTCTTCAAAGGAAAGAGCGTGGTATAAAAAGCTTATTTGACTTTAGTAGAGCCTTGCATTAGAAGGGTGTATTTATGTCGTCTGAGTACTACTTTCTTTATCTCTTTGCCTACTATATTGTTATTGAATAAAACTTGAAGGTATTCAGCTGCTTCCCGGAGCTGGAATAATGTGATTAAGAGATACAAATAAACGAATAAACACTTAAACGGGTGATCTTTCCCGGAGACGTTTGAAGTCATAGTGAGGCGCCTGTGCAAGTTGTACTTCTTCTTCTTCTTTATTGAAGCGCCCTGTAATCACCAGACCAATGTATTCATCAATCTTTAGAATCTTTCAAATGCTAAATGTATAATATATTGTTGGCAGTGTGAGTAATCTTCCCCCCCCCTCTGACTCCTTCAGGTTCCCGGACTGTGACGAGTCGTACCCCCGTCCCGTGGACCTGCTGTCCAGCTCAGACTCCACCGACTCCCCCATCTCCGTCCAGAGGGACTACGGCTTCTGGTGTCCCAGAGAACTCAAAATCAACCCCGAGCTGGGCTACTCCTTCCTAGGGGTCCGAGACTGCTCCCCCCCCTGCTCCAACATGTACTTTACGCGCGAGGAGCTGGCGTTCGCCCGCTATTTCATCGGGGTGGTGTCCATCGTCTGTCTGTCCGCCACCCTCTTCACCTTCCTCACCTTCCTCATCGACATGTCGCGCTTCCGTTACCCGGAGCGCCCCATCATCTTCTACGCGGTGTGCTACATGATGGTGTCCCTGGTGTTCTTCCTGGGCTTCCTGCTGGAGGACAACGTGTCCTGTAACGCAGCCAGTCCCGGCAGGTTCAGGGCTGCCACCGTGACCCAGGGCTCCCATAACAAGGTAAGAGGTCTCTGTGTGTTCTGATGCTGTTTCTCCACTGCCCGGTCCTTGGTACTGACCCTCCATGGTCTCTGCCCCAGGCCTGCACCCTCCTCTTCATGGTGCTGTACTTCTTCACCATGGCGGGCAGTGTGTGGTGGGTCATCCTGACCATCACCTGGTTCCTGGCTGCTGTTCCCAAGTGGGGCAGCGAAGCCATAGAGAAGAAGGCGCTCCTGTTCCACGCCTGCGCCTGGGGCATCCCGGGGTTCCTCACCGTGACGCTGCTCGCCATGAACAAGATCGAGGGGGACAGCATCAGCGGGGTCTGCTTCGTGGGGCTGTACAACCTGACGGCGCTGCGCTGGTTCCTGATCGCGCCTCTGGGACTGGATGTAGTGGTGAGGACGAGTGTTACACATGCAGTGAGATCTTTTCTATTTATAGATTCTATTTTAGTCTGAATGATATGCAGAATACTTACTTTGTTTGGTGACAGTGGCTCCATCTTAAAATGATATCAATAATGCATTTATTGATAATACGAAATAAACAAGTTCAAATAAGATGTGCATTTAAAGATACAAAAGAAAATGAAATGAAAAACAAATATCTACAGTATATAAAGAAATGGATAAAGGCAACATGTGTAATACATGCTAAAAATACAAATATTGATATAAAAATGTGAAGTTAAAGTAAAATGTGCACAGTGCTATTCATTATACTACATGTATATCACAATATGCAATGTTGTATTGGTATGACTAAGATATTGATTCTGAATGAATCAGCAGTATACCAAAGTGCACAGCTGGGTATTGGTTCCAAAAAGTACCAAGAGGTATCATAACATCTAAAGTCCACCTGCATTTCATTCTTTGGTACCAAGATCTAGAAAAGAATAGCTATGTTCACCAAGCGTTCTGACATGTATTGAGACGTGTGAGTGGCACAGCGCTGCAGCACCTACAACCCACACAGGGAGTTCAGCACGGTGTATCTCACCAAGTCGAACCCATCCAACATTTGAAATGGTGGCTACACCACAGGTCTGTAGTGTCTAAATACAAATAAAATAGTTATTTATAATCTAATGGTAACAGATCAAGTCTGTACGCCATGATCTCCTTCTCAATCTGAGTGAAAGCATCCCCCCCCCCCCTCTCGTTGTGGCAGGTGGGCGTGGCGCTGCTGCTGGCAGGCATCGCCGCTCTGAACCGCGTGCGCATGGAGATCCCTCTGGAGAAGGAGAACCAGGAGAAGCTGGTGAAGTTCATGATCCGCATCGCCGTGTTCTCCGTGCTCTACCTGGTCCCCCTGCTGGTGGTCCTGGCCTGCTACCTCTACGAGAACAGCTACCGGAGCATCTGGGAGACCACCTGGGTCCAGGAGCAGTGTCGGGACTACCACATCCCCTGCCCCTACCAGGTGAGGACCAGAAGCTTCTCATGGGGTTTCAACTGAACCAATCATCATCATCTACAGCCTGTGCTGCATTCCACTTATCATTCCCAATATCATTTCGTACATTATTTATAACTTATGAAATCTGCTTTGGGCACAAAATAGATTTCACTTACATGTCTGAAATATGTTGTGAGTTCCCTTTGTTGTAGCCTAACACTAGCTCAGCTTGTCTGCATGCACATTGATATCATCACATCACATCACCTGTAAATGTCTCTCCTTCTTGACAGAAGGAAACAGGATTTATAAGGGATGGTAGAAATGTAGAATATATGTTCAGTATCTGTATATATACAATAATAATAATAATAATAATAAATGATATTTATATAGCTGCGCCTTTCAAGGGACCCAAGGTCGCTGTACATGGTGGACAAACAAAACAAACAGACAATCAAAGGGCAAACAAAAAATAAAGGAAGCCGGGGGACCAAGAAAGGGCTAGGGCCCGAAGGCCAGGGTGAACAGTTGTGTTTTTAATGATGATTTGAAGATGTCCAGGGAGGCAGCATTACGGCAGGAAGTGCATTCCAGAGGGTGGGGGCTGCAACACTGAACGCCCTGTCCCCAACAGTTCGGAGGCGAGAGCGGGGGATGGAGAGCAGGCCCGTGTCTGAGGACCGCTGACTCCGAGAAGGGGTGTAGGGATGGAGGAGGTCCGATAAGTGGGGTGAGGGTATGGAGGGACTTGTGTGGCTTTGGCTGTCTGTGGAGACCGAGTTCCCCCACCTCGCAGAAAAAGCTGTAAAAGTGCTCATTCCCTTCACCTTGACCCAGGGGCGGACTGGCCATCTGTGTGTTCTGGAGAATCACAGAACGGCCGGCTTGGTTCGCTGACGGCCGGCACCGCCCTTTATTTTTTATGTTTTTAAACGGCATCATTTAAGTTGTGCTGACAGGCCACGGAGGTCCGTTCAGCGGGCCGTTTCCACGCAGCGAGGCTCCCCCCCCTTCCTATAGTGCTCTACCAATTTGTGTGGGCTGGGCTGGGTGAGATTCCAGGGCTGATTTGTTGTCCCAGTCCGCCCCTGCCTCCACCTACCTGTGTGAGTGCGGGTTTTCCGCATTGACTTTGATCAAAATCAAGTAGGTCAAGGCTGCAGCCAGAGGATGATCTGTGTTTATTCCTGTCTACATTGCATCCCCGCATCATCCGCCTGTGCGCATCGAAGACGCAGACTCATTGTTCCCACTAAAGTAGTCTAATAAGGAGGCAAAGTTGACGTACAGTGTGTTGCCAGTGTAATTTGCTCACATTGGGTCAACGCGTCATAGAGCGACCAAGTCATTTAATTGGACGAGAGGCATACTATGAGAGCTGGTCACAGGGATGCGTTCAAATTTAGTCAGTAATTTGAGGAAATGGCGAACGCAGATAAAGTTGAGCTCGAAAATCCTCCAGCATCGTTGAAGTCTCCGGTTTGGGAACATTTTGGTTTCGCAATTTCATACAAGGATGACGGACAAAGACAGGTGGAACCAAAGCTGTTTGTCGGCATTGTTCAACTAAAATTGGGGTAGGCTCCAGCCATACCAAGAAATGGCTTAGCCCCACCATGAAAAATGATGTTAAAGTAAGCAAAATAAAGTCTGCCAACTTGCGCTGAGAAAATTGCACAGGCAGCAGTTAGTAAGATTGATTTCAGTAGCCACTTGTCTGGAAATACCGAAGACTAAAAACGGTTTTGAAAACTTTTGTCACGTAGTGATCGTCTTCTCGATAGAACATCTTTGATAATGTCTTCTGGCCAATTAGAATCACGATAACGGCATGGTGTTGTTGCAGGAAGTCCCGACGGAGAATACTTTTGCTGTAGTACATCTCTATATACATCGATACAACATTACATGTTGATAGAAATCAACACGTAATGAAATAAGACCCCACGGTTTGCTGATTGATAAGTGCGGTGGCCTGTCTTTCATTTTGAACACACAGAACAATGGGGGCTATCCACCCTTATGCCACAAATGTATAAGTAATTCCCACAGCCTGTTCCCTCTGCTCTCTGTGAGGAGCAGGCAAGGTTCAAGCTTTTCAGAGCAAAGTAAAGAAAAAACAAAAATGGCATTCATTTTTTTTTTCAAAATAATGTTGTGTAGTAGGCTAATAGATTTATTTATTTTTCTTACTCAAGAGTGTAGCCGATGTGTATTTTATGTTAGTATTTCCCAAAAAATGTACTCCGCCCTGCAGGGGTTGGGTTTCAGCATGTCACTCTTTCACTTGTGGGGAAATTGCAGGATTGGCTCCAGGTCGCCGCTTTTTATTTAGATACAAGACAAAATGTGCCTTTTATTTCATGAAATTTCAATTTTGGAATTAAACAATAATAAATTAAAAAAAGAATAATGTGTGTTATTAGTTGAGTAATAAACAAGTGTGTATTTAGAAATGAATAACAAATTAGAAAAAAAAAAGATTTAAAAAATACATATTTCAGTATTCTGAGCCGTGGCTGTGATATTGAGTAAAAACATGTTTTTATGAACCACACAGGCTTCGCGATCTTCCAAGACCGCCCGACGGAACCAAGAATACGTGCTGCAGGCCCACGAAAACATATAACGGCAATAGAAATACATTGCTTTCAAATGCGTTTCTGTTCTGAGCACGAAAAAAAAAAGGGAAAATCCTGTTGGTGGACACGAATCCAAGAGATTAAATGTCGTGACTCTTAACACGAAAATGCCGTGCGACTGGGTTGGTAGTCTCTAACTTTAAGATTCCTCTCCTGCCTGATGTTCGGGTGTCAATATCCAGGGTAAGTACGTGTCTCATACTTTAAAGATTCCTCTCGCTGGCTGATGTTCAGGGTGTATACTCAGTATGTTGTGGTCTCTACTTTAGAAAGAAGTCCTCCTCCTGCTGATGTTCAGCTGTATACCCCTCAGTATGGTAAGTGTCTCTAGCTTAAAGAGTCTGCCTCGCTGGCTGATGTTCGGGGTGTCATATCAGCTAATGTAGTTAGTACTGCTAAGCTTTAAAGAGTCTCGTCCTGCTGATGTTCAGGTGTATATCAGATGTAGTGTCTCTAGCTTTAAAAGAAGTTCTCCTCGCGCTGATGGTTCACGGTGTATATCAGTATGTAGTGCAGGGGTGCTCAGACTCATTTACGCCTTGCCGCTGGACGTAGAGTCTGGGCAAGTCTGGGCCGGGCTTCAAGTTATCCGCAAACATATTTTAAAAAATACAACATTAAGCAGTCTCTTCAAACAATCTTCTTAAACATGCAACTGTTCTTCACACAAAGCACTTACACGTTGCTGTTCTCTTGCCTACTCGCTTGCTGGTAGAGACCTGCGCAGCCTTCTCCTCCACAGCAGCTGAGCCACAATTTTGGGGTTTGAGGGAGGAGCAGTCTGAAACCCTCAGACGGCTTGAAGATGTGCATCAGCTAAGCTGGACCTGTACTTTGACTATCGAAGTTGCATGGTGGAGAAGAGCTGTTCACGACATAATGTGGGGCCTCCCAACAACGCGCGCGCGGCTTGAACACTCCTGGAAATCTCAGGGAAGGACAATTCTCGCATGAACTGTCCAACGGGCTTGTCGCTTTCCCACATTCACTTCCGTGAACTTGGCTTTGAGCCTTCAGAATTGCACTCAGGTTCGATGAGCTCGCATTTGAAAGCAGCACCAGGGGCATTTTCCACATCAAAGGAGAAGCGGGTCTGCAAACATTTGGAAAAGTGGCTCTGTGTGTCTTGAAAGTCTG